ATTTTACAAAATTTTACATGTTTCCAAAATACTTCTTTCAACCAAATTATATTTCAAATATTTTATGTTACATTCCGTTCGAATGTAATTTTGATTTATTACTTCCAGTTGCAACTCTCAAATTTCCACGCTTTAAGGCCGCGACCTGCATTTCCTTTACTAATCTCGAATGCCCTGCAGATTGCCGTACATACATTCATACATATATACATATTTAAGTATTTATCTCCAATTTCATTTGGCATTTGTTCGAAATCGTATACGTCAGGCATCGCTTTTGAGGGCAGCAACCATTTGTCACATATTTAATTGAGCAGAAATTATTAATACAAAGCTCGAAAATGAATCAAAGAAAAAATCGTAAAACACCGGACAAAAATATTATTTATTTTTATGCATACACATTTACATACACACATGCATATGTAAACAAATTACGAATATACATATATGCAACAAAATGCATTAGTACCATTTCGTATGCTTGACATATGCATCTTTTCGAATCACATCATACCAACATACATGCATACATATATACACATTCATAATTTCATAATAGCCGCTGCACGTTGTTTTCTTAATTATCAATGCTCTTGTGACCTTAACTTAATATGTATGTATTTATTTAAAAAAAAAAAAAAAACCCCAAACACAATTCAGCTTGTTAACTAAAGCCTACTTAGCTTCTTATCTACGTAAAGCCCTCATTAGCAGTTCAATTGGCACAAAAAATTTTTTTATTGAGTGTCTTAATACAATTCTCAGCCGCTGTGGTTAATTTAATCGGAGACTTTCTTTTGACCCGAAAAATTAGGATTGAAAAGTTACATACATATGTATGTATTTATATATATGAGAAAAATAATTAATTTAATTAAGTGTGTGTGTGTGTGGGTGTGTGCACATAATATGTACATTAGGGTGGTCAAAAAATGCAGTGAAAAAGTAAAGTCCGAAGTTTAATGCTCTCACCCCCTGGAATTATTTTTGCTTAAACCCAAAAATATGTTAAAAATTACTTTAAAAGCATTTTTCTAGAAAAGTTGATTACAATAACACCGTTTTCTCAGATGCGGTCACATATAGAGTATCGGTCATGGCTATAGCACGCCATTTCAAAGTGATATTGTGTGCCACTTATGTTTTTTTTATTATTTTTAAGAATTTTCAATTTAAATACAGTTCTTTCTCTAATAAAACCTATATAAACCCAAGTTTAAAATTTTGTAGAAAACTACAAAAAGGTGCAACACATTTTCACCCAAATTTCAAACTTTTTCCTCCGAAGTGTTGGAATTTTTTTTNAATTATTTTTAAGAATTTTCAATTTAAATACAGTTCTTTCTCTAATAAAACCCATATAAGCCCAAGTTTAAAATTTTGTAGAAAACTACAAAAAGGTGCAACACTTTTTCACCCAAATTTCAAACTTTTTCCTCCGAAGTGTTGGAATTTTTTTTAATACACAATTTTATAGTCCAATCAATTTTAGCCTGATAATGTGCAAGTTTGAAATGGCTAAAAGTTACCGTTGATTTTTTAGAATTGTTTTCGCCAAAGGTGTTGCGGATTTTTTCCATATACATACAAATAAATTGAGTTTATTCATTATAGAAATCCGATGCGACAAATGAATTCTAAAAAATTAACGGTAATTTGTAGCCGCTTGAGATTTGCAAATTATCAAATTAAAATTGAAGGGGCTAAAAAACTGTGTACTAAAAAAAATTCTGTAGTTTTCTACAAATTGTTAAACTTGGGTTTATATGGGGTTTGTCTGAGAANTAATTTGTAGCCGCTTGAGATTTGCAAATTATCAAATTAAAATTGAAGGGGCTAAAAAACTGTGTACTAAAAAAAAATTCTGTAGTTTTCTACAAATTGTTAAACTTGGGTTTATATGGGGTTTGTCTGAGAATGAACTATATTTTAATTGAAGATTCTTAAAAATAAATAAATAATTAATAGTGGCAAACAATTTCACTTTGAAATGGTGTGCTATAGATATGACCGATACCGTATGTACATACAAAAGCACGATATGTGCTGTACGAAAATGTTTTTTTAATCAGAATGTAAAGAAACTATGTTTATGCAAAAATATTATTAATGAAATAGTTTTGAATTTTGACGCTCACTCTCAAGTGGCTGTTGGCCTAAATGCGCCACCAAATCAATTTTGCAACTACAGCGATTTCAACTGCCTTTCAGCACTTGCTTATCGTAATGTTGTTTTGCCAACTTCAAAATTTTTCCCTCATCTCATAAATTATAATTACAGGCGAATAGAGTATAAAATTATTGCTGGCTACTATTTTTTGAAAACTAATTTAAAAAAAATACAAACATTTTTAAAATAGCGCCAATTTAAAATTTAACAAAATTTTATTATTTATTTATGGGAAAACTTAATTTATGATGTTGCTGCAGACTCGCCGATAAAAAGTCTATAAAAAATGGAATACGTAAGAAAAATATTACACATAATTGGTGAACAAAAAAAATAATTATGCAAAATGCGTTACAAAGAAAACAAGTTAGACATTAATAAATAAAAAGTATACAAAAAATATACTTACATATTCACAAGTAGAATCTTGTATGAAATATATTTAAAAATTAGGTAAACACTGATCTACTGATATGTGTACATATGTATGCATGTATGTATGTATGTATGTAGCTTGAGTACTTGCAACATGTGCCTGCCACGCGTTAAACAGGTTCTCCGCCTTTGACGGCATTTTTTTACGACACGCCAAGAAATAGAGCGCTGTTCTTTTTTTTTTTTTGCACAATACAGTTGCAAATTTTTCACAAAAAAAAAAACCTTAATAAATAAAGTTTCAAAATAAAAATCGACAATGTTAAAACAGCAAAGTGCCTCAAAATATGCAAAAACGAATAAACAAAAATTAAAAAAAAATTGCTTGACAGTCAAGTGTGTTACATACTTACTTTCTGTATGAATTTCTGCCTAACATGCCTCAAACTTGTGTTAAGTAGGTGGCAAGGCAGCAATCGAAAAAATAGTGGCAGCGTTGTGGGCGACGATTGCACAGCAAATGTCCGCTTTTGACGCTTTTGAAAAAAAAAAGAGGCAAAACCTACTCCGCGCATAGCGTTCAATCAGCTATTTTGACACAACCCACACCTGCTTGTCACTTGGTGATTTTTTAGGTTATAGGAAATGAGGTGTGATATGAAACGGGTTTGTAATTTCATTTATCAAACCAGGTAGTTAACTGTGAAAAGTGAAAAAATTACAGAAATTAATTTCATTCCATTTATTTCATGTAGAACACTTTTTAAGAGGATAATTTTCTTTAAATACATATATACATATTTTCTTGTTGCAAATTTGCTTAATGGAAAAAAATAGCTTTATTGTATTTTTTTTGGCAAATGTGTAGCAAAGAAACTTATTCACAACTTAAAACAAGAAAGGAAGCGAATGAAATTAATTAATTATGATGCTAAAGTTGTAAGAAAATGATTTTATATTATATAACTATTTTCCCTCACCCGCTACGCTGAGTGTATGAAATTTGTTCGTGTTACGTTAGGAGTATTTGGTTTTAATAAAACTCAACATACTAAGGCTCAGACAAAAACAAAAGAGATTCTCACATTTGCATTTTTTTATTTCCAAATTAAACCTTTTTAAACCTGGGGCCTGGCAACCATATTGTGCAACATATTTCAATTATCTAATTCCCTTCATTGAAGTTGAGTTTACCTTTTTAAATATAAGCAACTCTTATACTTGTAGTTTAGAAATGTAGCGCTTTCAAAACCGTTTCCATTGATACCCATATTGTAATAATTAATTTACCTTTTTAATTAAGTTAATAACAGGTGAATTTATTTGTTTTTAAACAAAAATATTTTAAATGTTCAAACAAAATTTTTTGTATTACTATTTCGTTTCACATGCATTTGCAGTTTAATTAAACTTGACTTCTCAAACAGGTGGCAACGCTTTGATTATATTTTCAAACTACAACTTTCTTAAATCTATTTTGTCTGATACTTATATTGTTATACATTTTTTTTGATCACCTAATTTCCTAAATTCTTCAATCAATTTGATTTTTTATACAGTTGGCAACTCTCTCAAATGTCCTTTAGAAATAAGGCATTTTCAAACACGTTTCGATTGATGCCCATATTGTAATAGTTCATTTAACTTAAGAAATTATTTGAATTGATTTTAATATTGTACCTAACAGGTGGCAACCCTCTTCATACCCCCAAACAATATTCTAAATGTTCCAACAAAAGATTCCTTAACACTCTTTCGTTTTAGTATTTCATATTGTTGTTGTTGTTGTTGATATTGTTGTGTATAATTTAATTAAATCCCACTTTTTAAGCAGGTGGCAACTCTCTTCGAAATATTTTCAAACTACAACCTTTTTAAATTCTAGTGTAGTACTAGTCAAAATTGAAATGCACTACCACTAAAGCCCTAGCGGTAGTGAAAATTTCGATTTAGTGCAATTTGCCCAAAAACCTGATCGAGATAAAAGCTATCCTATGTTTTAAACTTCAATAAATGACACCCGTATGCAAAATTCCATGACAATTGGTTGAGTGGTGAAATAGTGAAAGCGTAACAAACAAACAAACCCGCTTTATAAAATATATTAGTAAGGATTCAATTTTACTTTTTTAAAAACTATTTTATTTATTTATTTTTTTTTTTTTCTTGTTATTTTATGTCTACTTTTTTATTAAATTTACGTTTTCGATTTTGTTTGCTTTGCTTTCTTTTATTTTGTATTTTTTTATTCTGATATTTTTTAGTTTTATTTTTATAAAATAAAATGAATGAAATAAAACAAAAATACAATAAATGAAATAAAAATTGTTTTTAATTTCAATTTAAAAAATATATATATTTTAGTTTTTAAAATTCTTTTTGATATTAAAGTTCTATTAATCAAATTTCATACCATGATTTTAACACATATTTTTATTTTTTCTCTTTTCAGGTAAGTCTCAAACTAATCACAAACAAGCGCTCTTCACATCTACCATCATTGCCAGTTCGCGTGAGTACGTTCCATCAACAATCGCTTTATGTTGCCAAACAAATGTTTTCGCTGCGATCATAAAATCCAAACGTTTATACGTTGTTTAATCCATTCGTTCGTCTGTCCAGCACAACCAAGCACTGACATTCGCCAAAACACCTCGATTTTCTCCCAAAAAACTATCATTACCATTAACGTTCGTTAGTGTATTGTGCTTCTTATTGCTGTTTGTTTTGTCGCCTGATTGAAAAACAATCTCACCGCCATTTTATCTTTATTAACGACATGTTTTTAATTTAAACTGTGGCTATAAAATATTTAACGCAGCCTTTTTTACTGCGAGCATTTTTTAGCTGCAGGCGCCGCGCCACCTCTAACTTGGGGGTGCATTTACTTTGGCTCGAAATGGGCTGGGTTGCCGTGACGCTATGTGTAAGCCGATCCGTGCCTAGTGAATGTGGGAATGAAAATTCATTACGCCCGGATGCCTTGCCTGACCACAGCGCGATCGGTAGCTGTGTGGAAAATGTGTTGTGCTTGTTGTGCGTTGGCATAACATAATTTCGGCCCTCGCCCCCCCTTTTCTTCGAGTTTGGCAAATTTGTGTTAGCAGTTGGTCGAGTTAATTGAAATTGAACTCATATTTGACAGGCGCAAAGTGCAAAACGCTGATAAGGTAGCTCATTTATGTTGTAGTAGATCAATGATTTGTAGAGTTGGCGAAGTGATTAGGCTTTTACATGTATCAGCTTAATGGAGTAGTGGACAGCAAGTGTAGCAAACATGTTTCGCAAGATGTAATTTAATGTTGAGTTTAATTGTTATGAAATATTAATGAATCTTTCGATTGGCGATATATGTATGTATATACATATATATTTATTTATCTACAAATGTACACACGTACGGAGTTTGCTAAAGACTGCAGCCTTATAAGTGGGTGCGGCTTCCGACTACTATTGATCTACAGTAGTGCTGCAGCGATAATAAAAAAGAAAAAAAAAACATGCGCAGCAAGCCTTAAATTATTGGGAAGAGAGCAGCTGCCATTATATTTTATTTGGCTGGATACAAATAATCATTCGATACAAATTTCATGGCTCGTGGACTGATCTGGTCTAGAGATGGGCGCGGGCCTACTTTTCTGGCCCGGCCCGGCAAGAGTGTGCATAGATCACATATTCGAAAACACGCACGTAGAGAAAATTAGTGAAGCCCAGACCAAAACAGCACTGCCCGACCCAGGCCCGGATTATCGGAAATCGCACCAAAAGTATCAACTTTAACGAAAAAATTAAGCATGGCTATTTTTTAGGTACGGTGATCCTAGGAAGCGAAGTCTAGTGAAGGCTTTTTCGGTGACACATAATGTGCTCAGCTTTTTCCTGTTCTTCTTTGCACAACCTACACTGATCAGTGTTAACATCTCCTATGTTGACAAGTGTTTCATTACCCTACAGTACCAGTAAGAAAACCTGTACAATTCTTACTTCATGTCTACTTAGGTGAAGGAGTTCTTCAGTTATCCGAGTTTATATATCCGGACTGAGGGAGTCGGCTTCTCTGTTATCTCCCGTATTTGTCCGGTAATGTTAAGCTTCGTTCTTCATCCAGGTATAGTAGTTTCGGCTAACGGAGCTCCATGGCAGATCGGTAAAGGGTCCTGGGCCTATGAATCCCTACGCAGTCCCTTTTCTGGCGAGAATATCTGCTAATTTATTTCCCATGACTCCACTGTGTCCACGGTTCCTGGGGGCGGTAAGTTTTAAACGTAGAAGGCAGTCCCGTACCAGCTTTGTGGTGACCTCGAGCGCTTTAAGAGCAAGGAGCGCCACTCTGCTGTCCGAGTGTACATATGTAGATATTATATTTTCTTTTCCGACTGGGTTGGATGCCGTACACTCCTGCTAAGATGCCGTGGTCAGTCTTGGAGCCGCCGGTTGCTCTCCTTCTGGGGTTTAGGCCGTTCGCTGTCCCAGTTGTTTCTTTCGGGAAAAAAACCTTGAAGTTATGTGTGTAGTATAATCTCGGAAGGCACAGGTCCACAAAGCTAATGCGCAGTTCATCTTCTTGTTCTATAACCTTGATGGTGGAAGGGTGTATGTATAAGCTTATCGTCCTCTATATTTTCCACTGAGCTGAGCCTCTTTCTTGATTACAATGTGTAGGGAAGGCAGGCCAAGAAGCACTTCGAGAACCGCGGTTGGGGTTGTTCTCATCGCGTCAGTGATGCCCAAGTAGGCTAGTCTTTGTAGTTAACTGAGCTTGATGCGTGGACTTCACTTCTGCCTTCTTCCACCAGAGGGGTGCAGCATGAAATGAGCTTGGAGATGGCATCATCCATCCGCCTTGCCAGTTTTGTCTGATGCCCATGTTCTACCCATTAGTTTCGGGTAGGTCCTCGTAGAAGCCCTAAGCTTTTGAATAGTTTTATGAAGGATTCCATCGAAGCTTGTCATCAAGAATAACTCGTAGATATTTGACGTCGCCCTCCCCTCATTTCAATTACTCTAAAGTCTTAAACTCGCAGATACGAAAATGAAAGAAGTCAGACTTAAGGTTCCGGGTCAAAAGCGGCGTTTCTAGAAAAAGGAGACTGCTCTAACTATAATAAATAAATCGTTTTTAAAACGAGTACACCCTTCGATTAGTGTAGTCTTATAAGAGATATATTCTAATACTTTTATGAATCCACCTAAACCAACTATACATAAAGTCACTTGTGAATTTAGGCCTAACTAACGTTAATTCAAAATCAGGTAATGTAAGTAATTGAAAATTGCAATCAATCATGGTTTAGTTAATTTCACTCCTTTGCACAGCATAACAAATCGAATTACCACCGTTAAATTATACATAATTTTGCTAGTTTTTTTTTTTGCGTGAATGCGAAAATTGTTTGATATTTCAGTGAATGTCTAATAGAAGGAGCATTTAGATTGACTGTCTAGTGGCTGGTGGCATAGTAGTTAGACGACTAAGGCTGCCAAGTGGCGTAATTCACAAAGCATATAAATACTTATGACACGTACAGTGGCTGAGAAAAGTACACCTACGTCGTGTCTTATTGAATATGAAATACCGAGTACTGTAATGAAATGCTGAGTACGAAATGGGACTTTCGAAACGAATTTCTTTCATTCTTTGTCAAATTTTGGTTTGGAGGCAAGCCGGTTTTGTGGTTGTACTTTTTTGCAGTGCTCACAATTCGTTCGTCTGCCATTTTCGGACGCTGTCGGAAGAGTAAACCAACACCAAAACCTATTATGGCTTTTTATGGATTCGTTCTGTACTTCTTCAGTCTACAGAACAACCCAGTAGCTATGTTCTACTTATCACAGGTACCAGTCTTTCAATTATGCATGGCCTAAATGAGTTTGAAGTCAAGCAAACTGCAATAATTAGCAATCTGAACTGTTCTTCACGTCGGCAAATGTACATATCGTTGTAGGAAAAGAGCGGTAAAACGTCAACTCTATGTGACTGACCAGCATAACGTAGGACCTGAATGGAGCTTCTGTGAAATCCTTCTTTGCAGACGAAACAAAACTCAGTGAAATGAACTTCTAGAATTTATTTCGATTTTAAAACTCCACGGGTTGGGTTTACTTTCTTTAATTTTGTGAATGCAGTGAGAAAAAATTTACCAAAAATTGGGTATTTTTACCAAATTCAAACTTGAAAATGAATCAAAGTGATTTTTGTTTTATATTAACAATACCATTGTTGATATTTTCAAGAATGATTTGGTGATATTAACCACACTTTCTTCGTTTGAATACGCTTATATTCTGCACTTCACAGATGCCTTTTCATAGTTTGGAGACACAAAATAAAATTTTTTATATCATTTTAACATGTTGCTTCCAAGGGGATTTGAACCCGGACTTTCTGAAATTGGCAAATAACAGCAAGCATCTCTGCACACTTAGATACAACCGTTCTGTAAATGTGTCTTCAAATGTTCAACTTCAATACATTTTCTTCGTCGTTGATTTGGTTCTTCACTTCACCAGAGCCGTAGAAATCGTATGTATTCGTTGCTGATTAACGGGTACAACCCCTGACTCGAAGTGCCGAATCATTACTCACATAATAATGTCGTTACTGGCATTTTAAAAGCAACAAACAATAACTTGGCTGAAACCCCCATTGTCTTTTGGCTGAGTGTACATGCTTTACCAACTTCTATTTCTTTTTCATATATTTTGGATCAAAACTTTTTATAGCTATGTTCAATCTGTAAGGATGGTGAAGGGCGCGTGGCACTCTAGTTATGTCGGAAGGGGTTTTTGTGTTCTACAAAGTATGTTGGAAAATTTGAGTGCAATTTGTTCATGATATTGAAGGGATCATAATTTGTGTGGCTCAAAGTTACCACTCTGCTTAATATTAAGTTTAGACAGAAATCTAATTTAGTCAATTAACCTTTTATTGGTTGTTCACACACAATGAGCTGCTCGTTTAACGACACAAAGTCAGCTTCGCGATTAACTACAGTGATGGAAAACTTCATACAATCGTACCTTTATTTAGTTTGAAAGTACATTCGGTGCAAACGCACCATTTGAGGTACATTCGGAACTTAATCAAATAACTTTTCATTAAATCAGTTTTATTCTTATTTACATTTCATTGGTTTTCTGCTGTGGGTAGTTTGTCCTCCTTTGTGGAGGGGTAAACAAATGATACAAAATGGTGGTCAAAGTAACGTAACAGCAGTTGAATACGCCAGAAAGACGGTGAATATTTCTCCATTTCGAAAATATAATTTTGGATCGAAATGCTCGAAGAGAGTTTTTTGCATAGCCAAATTTGTTTAATGTGAGTCCAGAAGTTTATATGGTATCGAAGGGAAAGGCTGTCCTCTTATTTTCTTTAACATATGCATGTGCGTATTTTTGGGAAAATTTTAGGTAAAGTTTTTCAGCAGATTGGGTACAATTTAAAAATTCAATTTTCCATCGCTGATGGAATATCAGCTGTAAAAGAGGACTAGAAACAAATAGCTTTTTGCT